ATGATATTAATTATTTGTATGACCTTTGGAAGTAGAAACTTGAATGTCTTGTCCTGGTGAACAAAAGGAGGATTGCATTAAACAATGTGAAATTAATTTCTTATGATACTAAGTTTAATAAGCACGAAAATGTTGCTTTCTGTATGTTTGAATGCCACAGAGAGTGTTTAGTAAGGTTAGTTAGATTATGGTCTTCATGCTGCTGAAGATCTAATTCAAAGGCTAACTATTGATTTTGTTTTAAGCTATTATTGTATTTTGGGGTTGATGTCAGCAGGATTGTTAACATGATTCTGGCTCAATCACTGTATGTTAAAGATACATGTGATCCTCTTGGGTATATTATCAGTATCTATCCAGTTATGAAGAACTGTGGATTCCTCAGGCCTAAGGGTGGCTAAAAGAATTATTCTGCAATGCTAGAAGTAGAAATCTACATCTGATTTGCATCAGTTGGTCATTGATACTGCTTGATGATATTTGATTTTTTTTTTTTTTTTTACAAAAAGTAAAGAGTTTTGAGCAATATGGTCCAGGTTTTTGGAGATACAGTACTCTGTTTATAAAATAATTTCCTAGATTTTTTTCTTTCCCCTTTTTCATTTCTATGCTTATCAATTTTGAGGTTGGGTTGATCCTTTAATGCTCTTGTGCATATTTTCTTTTCCTTTTTCTTACTCTTAAAGGAGTAAGTCTGGAGACATCTGTTATGTTTTACACTTACTAGAGGGAGTGAACATTATTCTTAATAATATTGAAATTAGTATACAACTATATTGCCTTAATGCTCCTTGAAATAAGGAATATTTTAGGAAATGTCATAGGTGACTTTTGTGTTTGGATCCAGCCAACAATATGATGGAGAAAAGGAAGAAAACTGTATATAACTAGAGGCCTTCTGACTTGCACAGTGTATTGCTTTAAGGAAAATATAAGAATGGTCTTAGAAGGCACTTTGCTATTTTGGATTAAAAGGAGTATTGGTTATTCCAGCATTTATATTGAAAGCCACTTTGAGTCTAGTTGGATTCAGTATCATTTAAACAGTAGTAAATAAATAAATCTGTCATAAAATATACATATATAATGAATACCTATTTCCCTCCATTTATTCTCATATTTACTTTAAAGCAGAACACTTCTGAGGATGAAAACATAACATGAAATTAATTACAGAAGCTGCAGTTTTAGGCTAATTTTACCTTATCCTGTTGGTAACATTTAATTATTTATCTGTCTCTTCTCCTGTTCTGGCCAAGAGCAATGATGTGGAATAAGAAAACACTAGGCAATTCTGAAGTGGTGAAAACTTGACATATTTTTGGCAAGAATGTAATATGGACTCAATTAGCTTGGATCAGAGTTCTAGGTCTCTCTTAGCTGATCTTATCTCTGCCTAAAGAATCTGTTCAAAGACTGTTATATGCTTACGAATTGGTAAACCAGGGTAGGTCCATTCCCTTTCCTTTCCCATTTTAGGTACAAATTTCAGATCCAGAAATATTTTGTTATGGTAAATGTTCATAGGAAAAATTGTCAGATCATCCAAGAGAAAAGTTTCCTTTGTATTCCTAACAAATACAAAAATAACTCAGCCTTCAAGAAGTTTTAGCATTTAATAAATTCAGAATTATGCAAGTATCTAAAGTTATGAAATCTGTATAGAATTTAGGGAAAATTCTAGACTTGTTTTACCAGAAAAGAATGTATTTGGGTTGATCCATGATTATGTGCTGTCAACCTTTAGTGACTACATAGTGACTACATAGTTAGATTTTCTCCAGAATTATCTGTCCTCAACATGACCCTTCAAGTCTTCCTGCAGTGTACCCATTACTGCTGTAATTGAGTCTATCCATCTTCTGCTGGTTGACCTCTTCTCTCTCTTTTCACCTTTACCAGCATTACAGTTTTCTGAAGAGAGCCAGGATTGATTCATAGGAGACTGAAATTAGCAGGAAAATCAGCCAACTGGCTTAAGTTTTAAAGTCATAGTACTGGACTTTAGGAAACAGCAGTTAAGAAAATTGGTTATAGATAATACTAAGTTCTTTGTTACTGGCATGAGTTTGGTTTCCATGCCTCCCTTAACATGAATTATCAATGCTACCTGTAAAAGATGAATGTACATGATATATTTACTATAATAGAAGGCATATTATACTGGAATTCTTAGTTTAGCAATAAATGTGAATAAAATGCTTTTTGAAGCCCCATCATTTTAGGCCAGTGTCCCATATCTTAAACCCTCAGCCTAGCATTCTGCTCCCACAGTGGTCAGTCAGATGCCTCAGAGAAGCCCACAAGCAGGACATAAGTCCACAACATCCTTCCATCGCATTCCCAGAAACTGGTATCAAGAGACACTGTTGTCTCCAACCTGAGAAGTAATATATAGCCATAATCATTTGTAGCCACTTAGAGCAGTATTTTTAAAAGATACCATCTTGAGTAGCAACTTACACAGATGAACTATGTGTGAATCTCCACACTATATTATTGTATGTGCTTCTATCATCCCCTTGTTTGTCCTCCCCTCATCCCAAGGCAACTCTTCCCCATGTGGTAACCTTTTCTTAGACAGCCCACTGAACATTTTCATAATCCTTTTCTGAACATTTCCCAGCTGTACGATATGCTTCACCAGAATCTGTGTTTTACTATAGATCACAAGTCCTTTCTATCAGAAGTGTTATTTTTCATTCCTTTTCTGTTCTCAGTGTGAATTGTCTTTTTCATAGGAGGTTCACGCTGAGCTGACTTTCCATTAAAAACACTGACTATATGCTCATAATTACCTGAAACAGCCATATAACGCTAGATTTCTTTTGAAAAATCCTTTGTGGGACCATCAAGAGGATATGACAGAAGTATAGGTGCATGATTGCCGAGCACATATTTAGATGATTATATTCAAAGTCTTTTAAGAATCAGAATAGATGCCACTAATTAAAAGGCAGCATGCTTCTTTTTAAAAATTTTAAAATGTTGATATAAAAATTATAGATGGCAAACATCATTTTAAAAGAGGCTTAGACTCTTTCTTCCTCAAAAGGACAGACTATCTTTTTTAAAATTATACTTGCTGCCGAAGAGTTTAGAGCAAAGATAAGTATGCTTCCTACTATTATTTTTATCCTTTGGAAGTGTATAGAACTTTAATGATTAATTCATTAATTCACTCAAACTCCCATTAATAATTAAAATATCTTTGATTATTTTATCATCCTAATCATTCCCAATGGCAAGTGACTACGCAGCATGAGTAATTGCCCATATCAAGCATATCTGGCCAAGAGTGCACGCACTGCAAAATATTTTGAGACTGAACTTGATTTTGAGCTTCAGGATTCTTATGGCTAATGGAACTTAGCCATATATAAATGTGTCAGCACATTTTTTATCCAAATATGGTTTGGCAGTTTATTCAGTATTTGTGCAATTTACTCTTTCTGTTTTCCACATGATGGAAAAAAGTAAATATGGTTGCCATGTCATGTGTTGAAGTCAATTATGAAATCCCATTGACTTGAATAGATCACATCATTTTCTGGCTCCTTTAAATGGAGGTTGTGTGGTACAGTTATAATTTTAGTCACCTCAAAAAGGACTAATCTGAGTTAAGTTTCTTTGTATCATTTTCCCAGAGTAGAATGAAGCCCAGACTGTCTGCTATAGAGTGGAGTTTGGGACATACATACATACATAGTCCCTTTATGTCTGATACATTTCCAGCAAACTTCTATGAAACTTTTGTAATAATGGATAAAAGCAAGTTAAAATGTGGTTTTGAAGCAAATACATGCCTCAGGTTGCCTAATCATATGTGTGCATACACACACATTTGTGAATCCTTATATACAATCTGGTTAATAAAAACCCTGCTAAACTGGAGATACTTTTAGCATTGATTAATTCTGTTGGCTAAGTGATTAAGTCAGATATAGGGAACCTCCACTTAACTATAAGACACAGAGATTTCATTCTGGCCTGCCAACTTCTTTTTCCTCTTCACAGGCCTCAATAATTCTTCTTTCTCAATCCTTTTCTGGACACTCAGAGAATCCACTGCCTAAGACTGAGAAATACGGGTAGTCCTTGCTTAACAAATGTTTGTTTAGTGACTGTTTGAAGTTGCAACAGTGCTAAAAAGTGACTTATGACTGGGGCCCAAAGTTACAACTGTCACAGTGCCCCTGCAGTCACATGATCACGATCTGGATACTTTCCAGCTCACATTTACGATGATTGAGCATCCTGGGGTCACATAATCACCATTTGCAACCTTCTCAGCCGCCTTCTGGCAAGCAAAATCAATGGGAAAGTATGTGATTCACTTAATGATCACGTGGTTTGCTTAATGACTGCTGTAAAAAGGGTCATAAAATGGGGTCCAGTCACGTGATGATTCACTTAATGACCACATCACTTAATGACTTAAATTCTGGTCCCAATTGTGGTCATTAAGCAAAGAATACTGTACAGTATTCCTGGCAATTAGTTCATTGATTTCTCTCCAACGAATACTTGTTGCCTTCTTCTTCTTGAAGAAGGAACTGCAGAGTGTGAGAGAGATAGACAAAGAGGTTGCCCATTACTTTTTTCTGCCTGGAGAAAGACATTCCTGAGGAGGGATAGTGGCTCTTTCTTGACATTCTTGAACCCCTCTCTGGTGTCATCCAGCCCTACATGTGCAGTCTAGAGATCAAGCCAGTCTGTAAGCCAGATTTGTTATTCTACCTTTTGTATAAATGTTGCAGGCTTCAAAAATGTTGAAATATTTCATAATATGGGTCATAATTAAGGGACACAGTCAAATTCATTTTGCAAAAAGTGATTTGTCAAACTTTATTATGCTTTAGACAGTGACATCTTGCCTACAGTGAAGAAAATAGTTCCATTTTAATAAATCTTTATAATTACCAAGATATGTACTTCGACTGTTTTCTAAGATTATGAAAATATTCATTGTGATTATTTTCTGTTTTGTTTTTAGGTCAAGATGTTAAAAAATATCTTATGGATGTATTGGACTTTAGCCATAACAAATGCATTCCACAAAGGTAAGAGCAAAATATATATGGGATGTTGACATGTTGAAACTGAATTCTGAGAAAATTTGATGATTTTTGGTAGTCAAAATGCATCAGTTATTCTGTAGTCACTAATTGGAGAGCTCTAACATTAATATATGCATCATTAAAAAAAATATTCCCTTTGTTTTGAGTTACAGAAAAGAAGGAAACCTGTTTTATATCATGAGGGCTGCCAGTTGATTTTCTGATGAAGTTACACGTGTCTCTTTAATGCAGCAGTGGGCAAAACTTGTCGGCTGGAGGTGGCTTCCATGTTTTTTTTTTTTAAAAAGGGTATGAGGACTGCAAAGGGCATGATAGTACTATAGTGACATCAGTAGAGATGGCAGGGCTACATATGTTTAGGGGTGGATTTAATGCACACATTTTGCTTCTTACTTTTATTAAAAAGAAGGGTCTCCAAATATCAACAGCATAAAGGTGAGAGGTAAATTGAGGGCTGAGAAAAAGTGCTGTGCTTTGCTGTGCTTGCTATCATTAGCCTGGAATAAAAAGGCAACACCTGTTAAACATTTTAGGATCCAAGAACACCTGTTGGGAAAGAGAGAGCAAGCAATGTGTGAATGCATAATAGAGCAGGAATGTGTTGGATATGATCTTGTATGAAAACCTTCACATGCTGATTATGTAAAACAAGCACATCAGCCAGATCTCTTATTTTGGTTCAATTAAGGCTAGCATTGCATGCATCATTGACCATAGCAACTAACTCCAGATACCTACATTTATAGTATAGTAGAAGCAGGTCTAACTGTCTGAGTAGGGCTTACATGTGGTAAGTTGGATAGAATTTATAAGCCTTTAATTTATGGTCCCTGTAGTGATTACAAAATTGTTAGGTGACTTTTTATGCAACTTGTGATGACACGTAAGTACTTTCTGTTACATGCATACCTTCACAGATTGGCTGCTGAGTGTTAAAGAACAGTATTTTTTGTGTAAGGGATTTTTACCTCATTTTGCGTTAATAGATTAGGACACTTTTAGACGATTAACTGTTCTGTTGGGATAGAGATTTCTATAAAGGTTTGCTCTGTAGTTAGCATGTTAGGTTTAATAACAGGCAAAATCTGAGTATGATGCCATCACTAAATTATTTGCAAGTGGGAGTAATGCCTGTGATAATATAGAATAGGAATAACATTTTTTCTTATAGGAGAAGTAATAATTTGATTACACATATGCTTTCTCATTTTTCCTAACTGGTAGCATATTTTTCTTATTACCCTGCTACCTTTGATTACTGAAATGTAAAATAAATAAATAAATTACAGTATTTCTATGACTTAAGGACCCCTATGAATTATTAGCAAAACTCTAATGGATCATGTCATTATATAGTCTAATCACTTGATGGTATTGGACTTGATTGTTTCTTAGTTGTACATTAATATAGTCAGCAATACAAGTACCATGTTTATAGTCAACATACATTGGCTTTTATGTAAATAGGCATATGTGCATATGGACTTTCCATCACAATTAGTTTGACTGATAAGTTGATAGGAATACCAGGTGAAATTTGTTCTTTCCCTTCTTCTGTACATATGCACATACAGAGCTTAAGGAAAGTAGTTTCAGAGGATTCCTAGAAGTCTTAATTGTAGAGGGGCTAGCTCTTTGAAATTGTAGAAGGCTGGTGAGTTTTATTGAATAACCAAAGAATGCCCTGAAATGTTTCGTAGTCTTACATATGCATGTGAGTGCTATTTCATGTATATGCTATTTTAAATGCTACTGCTGCAGATGAAATGGACATTTGGCTAGCGTTCCATGATTTACAGTGAGAATTTAAAGAGTAACTGATCCATCACTATGCCTGATTTACCCCCCGCCCCCCGTTATGTAGTAACTCAGACTGTAAGCCATCTGGTAGAACAAAAAGGGGGTTTGTTAAGATTCAATTTATTGCCTTCTCTGACAAGCTCTGAGCAAGTTTTTGCAGGTACATGGAATATCTGCTTTATCAATCTGTACATAAACAAGTTGACCTCAAACAGAATATTCTTACATCTTCATATAGGCCATTTTTGATAGTACAGTACCACTCTGGGAGCCCCTAATGTTTCAGGGTGGCTTGTAGGGAACATTTCTTCTCACTGTGTGTTGTAGAATATGATTTACAAAAAAGTGGAAGGGACTTGAATACATACAAGATGGCATTTTAAAAACTCAAATTATTTTAGGAACATGTGTTATCAGACCTTTGAAATATAATATATGTACAGTAGGTGCTTTTAAGCAATAATGGTATTTCACAAACAATAAAGTGGCTGAATGTGGTGCCTTTTGCCCTTTCTGAACAATGTATTTGCAATTCATATTATTCCTGGAACTTTGTTAGACCCTTGTAAATAAAATAAAGTAGCATAGAATTTTGAAGTTTGTTTGTATTTTCAGTTCATGCAATACACATTTAACTTGTATAGGCATACCTGTTCTGTTGCATATTGTTTATATCCGCTATTGTTGAATTTGACTGATATATATGTCCTGTTTGGTGGCAAATACAAGATCTTTTTAAAAAAATACTATTCATTATAATTGCTTGGTATGGCTTGTTGGACAGAATGTCGGAATAAAAGGGGGGCTGAAAGCAGAGATGTATGTTTTTTATGTGACATAAGTTGGCAGCACTGCTGATCTCAAAAAGCCAAGCAGAGTAAGACTTGGTTACTACTCAGATGGGAGACCACAGTGAAATTCCAGAGCTGCAGAGTAGGTTGGTAAAAATAAGTTTTTAAAAATCTTGGAAGAAGGTGGTCACAAATCACTTTCATATTTGCCAGGAAAGCAGAACTGTTTGTGCAGACCAATGTTTCTCAACCTTGGCCACTTGAAGATGTGTGGACTTCAACTCTCAGAATTCCCCAGCTCCCCATACAACTTTAGATGGCCAAGGTTGAGAGATACTGGTGTAGACACTAGGAGTTCATCTGATTTTGAGGGTGAACTGATCTTTATCTTATACTTTTTAATATTTTTCTACTTTATGTTTTGGTTTTATAGCAGATTTTAAATTGAGGTTCAGCTATAGAACAATTTAGACTTTTGCTAGCAATTCAGCAGTGAAAAGCTGCAGTGCAAATGCTGCTGACAGATTTTAGATTTATTTTTTTTTAGACGATCGATGACAGCTGCTTCTTCCATTTGCTAGACCATTTCTTTATTTAAGAGACATGTCCAGACATACCCAGACTAAAATCTGTCTGAATCCACATTCCATGCTGCTTTTCTTAATGACATAGCCTTATACTAAGCAGATAGTACAGGAATCACCTGGAAGTCACCTGATCAGGATATCCAAGCATTGATGGATTGGTTTGAATATCCTTCCTTGGAAACTATTTTCTCCATCCAGAAGCCCTCTTTTGAGAAACCCTGCTTTGTCTTTGAGAGGCTGCTAGAGAGTAAAGACCAGAGCTTGCTATGTCATTCTAGGAAATTGCCCTGTAAGAATAATCCTGGTTTAAGATTCTTAATAATTTGAGGTAGCTAACTTTGGTTAGTAATGTTTATGTTTTGTTTAGTTTAAAGGTCAGTTGGCCTTTTTTTTTTACGCACCTCTGCTAGATTCTTTAATACATTACTGGTTTGGGAATTGGAGTTTTTTTTAGTTAGAGAGGATTCTTACCTATGTGTAGACTGTCTTAAGGAGAGAAAAGGAACGCTCAGGAAAAGGGCCCATTTTTCTTAGAAGTGGACCCGTTAGATTTTTGAATGTTCAAGTTGCAATTTTGTAATTGTAAATCATATGAACAGTGGCAGCATACCTTTCCCAGAAATATATAATAGATGGTATTGGTGGTCTGGCTGCTTGTCGCACCTTGTAGAATTGGAAGTACAGGTACCTCTCAATTGTCACACATTTCATTCATTCATTTCTAAGTAACACATGTTAAAATCACAACCATAAGACAGCAGAAACAGTCAACATGCCCCTAGCTTAATCAGTTGACGCCTGCTTAGTTAAGATTAGACTAAAGAAAAATAGTTTTGCCTACAGGCTGAAGGGGAATAGAGATGGAACTAGACTGATCTTTTTGGGAGGGAATTCCAAAGCCAGGGAGCTGACCCTCTCTTGCATTCCCAGGAGGCTTCTCTCGAATTATGGAAAGACTTTGTACCAAATCATTTAAGGTTTTATAGGTCATAACCAACCCTTTGAATTGTCCCTGGAAGATATGGCCAGTAAAATTTAGAAAGAAGAGACAAACACAAAATAAATGAATCACATCTACCTTATAATCAGATATCTGGCTATAGCATTCTGAACCAGCTGAATTCTGAGTACAGATAGATCTGTGTGCAGTATGCTATACTAATGCAGTTTGGATGTAACTAATAGTCAAATCTGACATTTCCAGGAGTGGTCTGAGTAGGCAAAGTAGCAGTAATCACACACTGCTGGTCACACCAGAAATCTGTTCTAGGCTGAATTCAGTAGGTTGTTAAACCTCTGCCCTAAGGTCACAACAATTTTGTAACACTTTCTAGGGAAAGCTTTTTTTCCCTCTCAAATCCTTAGTAAATGTTTTGGTGGAAACTTCACATTTCTGTGAAAGGAAATATCACATTTTTAAAAATGAGGGTACAATGTTTAAAAGCATAGGCTTTGAACAAGAAGGGCTAGGGGTTGAAGTCTCCTAAAAGGGGAAGCTGGAATTCTGATTAACATCAGAAGGAATAACAGATTTCATTCAAAGCAGATAAAAATTCTAGCCTTGATTTCCAGGATGTGGGATGTACAGTAAAATGTAGAGTTCCTTTCTGGACTCCCTGGATATATAACTATTTCTCTTTAAGTTAAACAGCTGAACAGCTGTTTCAATAGCCTAGGAATTGAATACATAGGCTTTTTTGGAGAAGGACTAGATGTCCAAGAAACTCTTGTTCTGCAGTGTGTTCTATCTGTGCGCATTAACTGAAGAACAGGATCATTGATCTTTTGCTATTATCAGAGAGAA